CCCTAAACCCTAAACCGCTTAAGTATAAGACTGTAGGATATGCCTTGTTATAGCTTGTGGTTTTCCCTACCTGTCTCCTGATACTTCACACCCGCTTGGACCTATCGTTTCTCATTTGCCGGGTTCCCTGTTGGCTCGGAGACTTCACCCCCATCTCTTTGGCAACGACCAGAACGAAGCCCTTTGCCTCTTTCCAAGGAAATCATTATCCTACTTGCTGCATAAACCCCAAACCCTAAACCCTCACCTCATCGTTCAAAACATAAAACCTTCTCCAGCCTTCCACCCCTGTCTGATTCAGTACTCAAAAACCATCCTGTGTCCGGGGTTTAGGGATTGCAGGGGAAATGCTAGACTAGACTCTAGACCCAGACCGTAAACGCTTGACTTGAGCTTGTTGGTATATGAGCCACTGTCTAAACTCCTAGTATCCCCCTTAATAACCCCTATAGTAGTCCCCTATATAATCCCCTACATAATCCCCTGCAAGGAGTTTAGAGTTTGGCTCATATGATGCTAGAACTCGGGGGATAACATTCCTGATGAATCCCAACCACCTCAGAGCACAAACGCCTTCAGAATAACCAAGGTCCAGATATCAACTAGAGTCTAAACTCCTTGCAGGGGATTATGTAGGGGATTGTATAGGGGACTAATATAGGGGTTATTAAGGGGGGATACTAGGAGTTCAGACTATGGCTAATATAGCATCAGTAGAGGAATATCCATGATGAGGCCGGTCTCAGGAGTTGTGTTGTCAAGAGGCTAAGAGGGATGAGATTGAGTATTCTGGCTTGTTCACTACCACCCGAACTGCTTAGCTGAGACTCGTTTCAGCGAAGGCATCCCAAATCTAAATTGATCATCATCAGTCTGTCGCGCGAAACGCATGTAGACCTGCGGCAGGCCAAATGAGAGCTTCCAAAAAGTAGAAATATTTTGGGCGGGTGTCCTTGTAGTGAGGACTATTTTCAATTGGAGTAAGTGGAGACCCCCATTTGATAAACCCCCGAATCTGTCTCTCAAGACAGCTTCTGGTTTTCCTGGGGCTGGGGTGCTCCAAAGTTTAACGTGCTGGACATAATCAATGTGTGGCTCAGCCTACATGTGGCATTCAGGACCATGAAACTTCTTACGAAGTACACAGTGAGGTTCCAGCATTCGCGAGGCTGACAGAGTGTACCACATTGTACCACTTGAGTATTTTCCCCAAAGAACCCCCCTTGCACACCCTAAATCTTGAACCCTACACCCAAAAACCGTAAACTCCCAAACTAGTCCTCCTTTCAGCCTGCCTCAGCAAGCCATGATAACATGTTCTTGTAAAGGGAGGTTAGCCCCCTTGGGGGGAGGCGGGGGGTCAGGAATTGAAGACAAATATGTTGTAGTAAAAGGATTAGATTGCTACAGAGGATGCAGAGGATTTTGGTCGCGCCCCGGCGGCCCTGCTGCCCACCTGTGGTCAATCAATCAAAAGCTGCAAGCATGACCGCATCTCCTGTTTCTTGGATCAATTGCTGTTAGTTTCCCGCCCCCTGTGCTGTGGCCCGTGGCGTGATGGCTGGTTATGGAGTTCCCCCTGCTCTGGGTTTTGACCTTAGGTGGTCAGACCATGGCTGCAAGCACGAGAGCATCGTTTGTTTCTGGAATTAGTTTGCTGTTTGTTTTGCTTTTGTTTCCACCCTCCAAACCCTAAACCCTAAGGTCCATAAATAACGACAGTAATGGGTACAACGCCCTCTGCAGTGCCCAGAATGCTGACAGCTACGAGGATGGCAAAATGGAAAAGACGCACCGGCAAAATTGGGGTAATACTAGGGTAATCTTGGGGTTATATTGGCGTAATTGGGGTCGTGTTGGGGTTATAGTGTGGGAACATTGAGGTTATTTTGGGGTTATACAGGGATAATGGACAAGAAAATGGAAACTACTATAATGGAGTTGTGAAAAAGGGTGACAGTTGCGAGGGTTGCAGCAAGGACACCCACCATCCCTGACATCAAGAACCAACGACCGTGACGAGGATTGTACCTGGGACACCTGCAATGCCCCGTGACTGTTGGCACGGGCTGAGACCTGCGACGTTAAAGATGGCGACAGTTACGAGAATGGCACCTCCGAGGCATCAAAAATGAGGACAAGTACGAGGATGGCGAGCTGGACACCCAGCATCCCTGTGACTGTTCACACTTTCGAGAGGCCTGTGCTAGGGCTCAGAAGACCTTACCTCGGGGACAGGGCGGCGGAGAACGCACAAAGCAAAACCAGATATCAAAGGTTCGGCTTCCAAATTTAGGGGTTCCCTATATCTAAATTGCTCGAACAGGCAGCACTTTTTCATGGAGACAAAGGCAACCAAGTCGAAGAACAGCCTGCCCCCAACTCACTCACAGCCTGCCTGCTCAAGTAACCATGGCCACACATTGGCCAAAGGAGGGTATTTAAGTAGAACAAAGAAATCTCTTAAACGAGCATAAACCCCAAATTCTAGACCCGGAGAATGAATCCTCCTGTGCTGGTGTTGCAGCACATAACACTGGTTGAACTGTTCGACGAAAACGGCAACGACATGATGACCTCCACGTTCCGTCGGAAACACGGTGACTAGTTCCTCATTGGGATGTTATATGAACCTGTAGCTTAAGATATACCTTATTTCGGTTGTTGCACCCCTCCCCCAACACTAAATAGCCTTTCCATGTCATTTCCCATTATCTTTTCTGCTTGATTCACCAGATGTTGCTTCTTGTCAGTGAGGGGATTGAAGAGCATCCGTCAGTATGTCCACGAATCACCCACCCTAAACCGTAAACTCTAAACTAGGGCTTCCCCTTCACCCTGCCAGCCCTCCCTCGCCGTCACACTGAAGTGGCTCACAAAAATGGTTGGCTTTTTGCAGCCCTGGGGATATGTGGGTGGTTGTCAAAATTATGGGCCCTTTTTGGATCCCTATTATAATACGGCACCTAATATTTAGGGTACCCAAAAAGGGACCATAATGTTGACAACCACCCATATGGAATTGTAGGCGAGTTATAGTTATAGGGGACCCCGTGTGGATTCTAAGACTATTGGCTTCTACGTTACTAAGATCCGAAACCCGGAGCCGTAAACGCGGGAGTCTGCCTCACCAACGTCGATGAGCTCTGTGCTTACGTTGAGCAGAAAGGTCAGCTGGCTCAGTTCCTCGAACCTAAGCATATGGAGGATACCCTAAACCCTAAACCCTAATCGAGTCAATGGCTCTTTCCCCCCGATTTTTGCGGGGCCTTCACTTTTAGGTGTACATAGATTGCGCCTTGGTGCTCTGGGACCTATATGCGGATTTCTTAGCGGATTCTCGGTCTGTCCTTGTGGGTCTGCCATGGTTCAGAATGATCCCAGTACTGATGGTAGGGTTTACGGTTTAGGGTTATGGCAATATAACAGCACTGATGGGGTCTAGGTGGGGAAATTTCTTTTTCCAATTCGCCGCACTAGGATGAGGTTGTTCTGTATGAATCTCCTGGAAGACAGGCAAGTCCCCAAACAGTCCGAAGCAGCTGGCTTCTCATCTCGCGCACTTGATACCGCAAAACTCCTGCATGGCCCTGCATGACTTCAGTTTACCTAGCCACTTGCTTTTTAATCTTGATCTGCCTGCCGGTATCGAATTCAAATTTCACACTCACCGCTCAAAATGTCAGAGTTGTCGTCGGGTTGGGGTTCCTCAAACCAAACAAACTCTGACGGGAACATCGGCCTCGAAGGAGGAAATCACCTCCTTTCTGGCGCCAGCTGGCACTCCCTCTGGAAAGCCAGAGCTACACAAATTCCTGCTGGGCACCAAGACCCCACAAGGCGAGCTGCGCGAAGAAGTGATGCACGCGCCAGCCCTGTTCAGCAGATCATACTTGGAGGGTCAGGGGTACTCAGCAAGTCTTTTTAAACCGTGTAAGCCTTATGTAACCCCAGATATCATCCCCATTGTCAACCTACTTACTAAGACGACGCTCCAAGTTCAGTTTTGGCCGGTTCACTGATTGCCCTGTCAAGCTGCTGACTAAAAGAACGGCAACTGTAACAGCATTGACGACAGCAAAGTGTTCCTGATTCGAATAACGCACCTGCGAAGCATGCAAATCCTAACAGACCCAAGCGGCACTGATGTCATGCATACTTAAGGGATGTGATTCAAAAAAGCCTTTGAAGAAAATCCTCCGGGTCTGTGGGCATCGCTGGGTGAAAACTCAGCCACGAATGCAGGCCGTCCACGATAGCGCACATTAGCGCCACGGGAAGGCCGCATGAAAGTGTGATGCACATAAGTATTTGGCTGACTCTCCGGTCCCAAAATCCACGCTCTGAGCTGAGAAACGGCATGGGGCCGAGCAAGACTGCAGCGATGTTAAGATGGAATTCAGGCCTCCGGCTAGCGGCTAAGCGGCTACACACTAAGCCGGTGACAGGACATGGTATTTGCAGAAATGATTCGGCGCATCAATTCTCCTGCGGCCATGTTCCATTGCACCTGCTTGATGAGGGAGGACAGAAGCCCTGGCGATGAATGTGGGAATTTGGTGACCACTGCGTAGAGAGGCATGCGCAAGAAAGCCTGTTGCATGTTTCTCAGGTCTCCCAAGCTCAATTGGAGCAAAACAGGCCCCACTTGCCGCTGCCTTTGGGCCTCCTCCCACTCGGACTGCAAGCACCGCACCAGCGTAGCGGCCTCTTCTGGGAAACCCGGCTGTGCCGAACGCTGGGCGAGGTGGGCAAGGATGATGAAAATCTGTTGCTCACGAGGAAGATGTGCAAAAAGCCGTCGCAGGCGGGGCCGCATCTTGTAAGGCGCTACATCATGCGGCCCATGGCAGAAGGAGCACTGAAGGCCGAAGCTGCAATGTCCACGCCTGAACATGTACACACATGGGCGGCTGCACATTTCCGGATGCCCCAAGCTTGGAAGATGTACCCGAAACTCAAGACCGGGCGGCGGCTCCAGTCTCTCCATGGCATGGACCACTTACTGAAAACCTTTCAAGCCCTGAGCCCAAGAGCTGGCAGCCAATCGCAAAGTGCCGATGCACAGCGAGAACACCCGAAGAGCAGAATTATTGACCATGTAGGCAAGATCTCTTGAAAACATGCATGTACGTCCCATAGACAGGGTGGCTGGCCGCCGGTCCAGCTTACCAATTTCTTGTCGACAGACAAAGCACACGTACTAAACACCTCTGGCGCGAAAGTGCTATCACTTGCACGTCATGTGGGCCCGTGCAACTCTTTCAACCTGGGCGAAAAAACCTGTCTAGACTGATCTGATCCGAGAGTCATCTCCACTTGTTCCTGGGCCGGCGCGTGGAATGAGAAACTGGTATTGCTCAAGCAATATAACTGCTACCATCAATACTGCTGCTGCTACCACTATTTCGACTGAGTACCCCAAATAAGGAGTTGCAGCCTTCGGGTGAATTGTGCGGATCCTTTGTAGGCAGTATGCAGAGACTATATGGGGTTAAGGGTTTAGAGTTTAAAGTGTAGGGCTTGGAGAGACACCCAAACCATAGATAGTGACCCACTTACATCTTTTGTCAGGTGGCATCTTTTACACAAACGCCATTGGCTGTTCCTCTCAAATGTGATCGAAACAAAAACGAGATCCTAAGCCCTAGGGCAGCATGCATGTTTGTAAAACTCCGAGAGGGCCATGGATATGTTCTCACCAAAAATCCTTCGCAACCCACCAGCACCATCCTAGACCATAAACCAAACCTACATGCAACCAATACGATAGCCCCCTGCGCCCCCGTCCGTCCTCATATACCCTACACTATATCAAACCTGAAGCATAAAAAATGCGTGACGTAGGAGACTGAACAACTGAAATCTTGCCCCTTTCAATCCCAACAGAAGTGTAGTATAATGTTTCCAAAAGACCCTATGCAAACTGCTTGAGCCCCTGCATTACCTGAATCCCCCAGAAACCTAAACCCTAAACCCCAAACTCAATCGGGTCTCTGTCATGGCGCTGCCCATGCTAGTCACGCTAGGTGGCGACCGCTTTGAGGGGCCGCGGTCCGACCTTGTGTACTTGAAGGTGCATTGGCAGTCAAGGTCTAGGGTCTATGATAAGAGGACTTGGGTTACCCCAAGCCCTATAGTAAGGACCCTATAAGGGTCAGGTGATAGTCCGATTGTTGACGGGCTGTCATAACCAAAAAATCCTCTTATGAGCAATGGTAATTTAGGGTTCATGAGTAGGTGGGAGTATACCTTGACCTTACAACCACACAACGCGTAAGCCCAATTGAAGTTACCGGTGAGCCTGAAAGTAGGGGCCCACAAAATTCGGTAGTGTTTGTTGCTTTCAGGGCTAAAGCTCAGGGCTTGTTTGCGATCAAATTAGAAATCATGCTTTGGTTCTCACACACTATGACTCATAGGAGAATATGATCTTACTCTACTATACTCTTTCCATTCGAAATACTACTCCATTGGTACTATAGGTTTAAAGTAGTACTAGAGGAGATCTTCACTTGGGCTGGCATACACTATAATTCACAAAAGGAAACCCCAAAAAATCCATTAGTCAGGCCTCGACCATCCTGTACATGAGACTTTCTCAGGATACGGATGACCTTCAGAAGCCTGGGATACAAGCAGGAAATAAACCGGTCGTTTGCATCCTTTCCATGAGAAATTCCAATTTGGCGTTTTGGGTGGCACTGTGACCGGTATCCTCTATTGAGGGACGGTGCGCAGGGGTGCAACTGCAGACCCCTCTCATTAGTAGGGAATAAGGCCTAGATCCTGCAGCAAGAGGCAGCAGGCTCTGTGGAATGGAGTCTGTCTCGGCCTCCACCTCAGCCCAGATGAGCCATAGTCTAGACTCATTAAAGGGGGCTGCATCAAATATAAAGGATTATTACGGGGGTTCTTACGGGGAATACTAGGACTTAAGACTACAGCTCAGATTGACCAGAACAGGTTTTCGGTCGGTTGAAGGAGCAGGGTTTGCGCTGATTGCGGCCTCATTACGGCAGCGAAGGAAAAGCAACTTGCTTGTAATGATTCAAGTTCTTATGGTGCCTGTCTTGAAGTCTTCGGCCATTCCCAAACTCACGCTCTTTAAGCTCCTCTCTTCCTCATCAAAACGTCGCGACGCCGTCCCAGTGATTTGCCCTTCCAGGAAACGCTAAACTCTCAACATTGCATGTCTCCATATAACGTGAGAATCCTAACTGCATTGGAAACACCAACAAAAGCCAGATCCTTGGGAAACATCCCAACCCCATACACCCAAAACCATTTTGGGCATCCGAATGCCTACGCAATCCTCTAAGCCAAAGAGCCTACCAAAGGCACCGGACCCACCGAGTATTGAGAATTGTGGGTTGAAGGCTTGGGGTTTAGGGCTTAGGGTTTGGGAGGCCTTAAGGCTTAGGGCGTAGGGTTTAGGAGGAATTTAGGGTTGAGAACCGATGCACACCCGCAAACAACCAACGAACAGACTCGTTCTTTAAGGATCAACCTCGCCACCTCCGCGAAAAAACCCAGCAGCCCAGAACCTTAAAACCTAAACCCTGAACCCTAAACCTTGAACCCTAAATTCTAAATCCTAAACTTTAAACCCTAGATCCTAAACCCTGAACCTTACGCCCTGAACCCTAGACCCTAAAACCCGATCACTGAACCGGAAACTCTAAAGCCGAACGGAGAAGTCCCCACCTGTATCCTGGCATCTGCATCTTCGGCCAGGGCCAAAAGATGAGCCCCGGAGGAGAGGCCGATGGCCTGTTAAGGGCTTGGAGTTCAGGGTTTTTGGTTTAGGGCTTATGGCTTAGGGTTTAGGGTCAAGGTCTTAGGGTTTTAGGCGTATGGTTTAAGGCTGTAGGGTTTAGGGCTTAGGGTTTACGGTTAAGGGCTTCGGGTTTAGTGTTTAGGCTTCGCATAGTTCAAAGGGGATTGTTCTTCAGCCTGGCTTAGGAAGTTTGAAAACGATTCTTCTCGGCCTCGGAGCGTGCATTGTGGCCTTAACGGTAAAGGGCCTGTCGGCCGCATTTTTTTTCTTTTTCCCTCCCGCGCCGTGTGGCGGCTCCCACTCTGTGCCAGCTCTGCATTCTAGGGTTTAGTTTCCTAAACTATTTTGGTTTGGCAGGGCGAACGGAATAGGACTTGAAGATCCAAAGCTGTCAATCTCAGCGTGTTTGCGCAGGCCGGAAGCGCGCACGTTTCCATCCGATGCTTTGTCTGGCGCGCTCCCAGACCAAATCCAAAACCACGCTCAGAACAATCCCGGAGCAATTTTGGACTTGTCCTTTAGCTCTGGTTTGACCTCTCCAGAATAGCGCCAGACCTATTCATCTAATCTTAGCTTTGATCTGATCCAAATGGCCAACCCTAGGTTTACCGACAGGGGTAAGCTTCATGCCCTGTCTTTCACCCCCCGCCACACCAAGAAATCCCGAACGCAGGGTTTTACCGCAACCCGAGGTGCGCGTATAATTGTGAAGCTATACCCCACTGAAAATTGTAAAAGGTCAACTGGGTGGATCAATCACAACCAGCAAACCAAATGCGCAAACGCACCTTTTCACTTCTGATGTTGTAACTCGTAGCTCAGCTCAGCATTTACAGAATGTCCAGAATCTATGGCAAGGCAAAATACCTCCCTAATCCTCTCAGCCTCTAAGGGAACCTTGAGCCA